TAGACACCTGTAATCCCAGCGCTCTGGGCCCCAAAGAGGTCCAGGCCACAGGTTGCAAATCAGTCCAGCGTGGGTCATTTAGCAACTAGTGGCTCCTGTCTCACAGTGAAAAAGGGCTGGAGGTGTAGCTCAGCGTAAAAGCCCCGGGTTCCACCTGCAGTACTGACAGGAAGGAAGGAATGAAGGGAGGAAGGGAGAGAGGTCCCTGTGTGATCACAGCTCTTCTCACTTTTGCAAAAAAAATGTTCGTGGGGCTGGGGATTTAGCTCAGTGGCATAAGTCGCCATAAGCGACTGCAAGCAGGCAGTCGTGAGTTTGATCCCTGGTACTGATAAAAACGAAAAAGATAAAAAAAATGTTCGTGTCAAATTCCCAAAAGAAAGGTGCTCAGCCCCAGGAGAGCTACGTCCTAAATCTGGTCGGTAGCTGAGCGGATTTCGCCCTACAGAGACCAGAGAATCCTTACTGTCCCTTCACCGGGTCGTCATTAGCGCTTACATTTGGGGTAAAGCAGCAGCTGGAGCCTGCCCTGTGTGCTGCAGCAGGGAGACGCCCTGCAGGGCTCTCCAGTCCATCAACCGCAGGGCTTCTGGTCTGGGCTCAGTTCTCTTAAATAAACTTTAGAAGGAGACTTTGTATCTCTTGGTCCTATGAGTAGGTGGAATGCAAAGAGATCTACAAACCTAAATCTGATGAGAAAACAAAGTGTTTCTCAGTCATAACACACCCGTGATCCCAGCCCTCTGGGAGGCTGAGGCAGGAGGATGGCCACCCAGTGACTCAGTGAGACCCGTCTCGAAATAAAAGGTTTTTAAACAGGGAGACATCAGAGAAAAGCAGCAGCAAAGTCGCACTCAACCAGCCGGCCTCTTCACCCAGGACTCAGGGTTTGGGCACTCACCCCTGGCTTCCTTCCTACCTCAACAGCACCCCACTGTAGTAGGACGCCCCGCTGAGATGGAGGTGACCTCGATCCCTGCCCGGCGCCTCTGTCCTTGGTGCTGCCCAGCTGTGGGGGAGCCATGGTCGCCTCAAGTCTCTCCCATCCTCCCAAGGCCCCGGGGTCCCTTGACCAGGATGCCCGCTGCTGCCCTCTGACCCCCCGCTCTGTCCCTTGGAGCCCTCACCCCGCTAACGCCGCTCCTCTTGCAGGGCCCAGTCTCAGTGATGCCTCCTCCACTGTGTCCTCTCCATCCCCAGGCTGCAAGGTCAGCGGCTGCCCTCTGGTCCAGACACCTCCCGCTTGAGCTGGGCACTGTGCCATAGGCGCTGCCCTCTCCCGTGGTACCACAGGCCAGTCACTCAGGTGTCCTAGAGCTTCGCAGCCCAGCGGTCGCCTGGTGCAGACCATGGGTTGTCCCCTGGTCCTCCCATGGGGCAGGAACGCCCTGGGCACTCGGTCCTCAGTCTCACGCTATTTCTCTCTCTACTCTGCCCCCCCCCCGGGACCTGGCTGCCTGCACTCAACTTCCAGAGAGGACAGAAAAGGAAAGTAAGTCTGCTCCCAGCTCCGGGCCCCAGGGGGCCATGGGGAGGGGAGTCCTGGGCTGGGTTACAGCTGCTTCCCGTGGGTCTGGCCCTGGCAAGCGCCAGCTGCCGCTGTCTGTGGCCACCCCAAAATGCCATCAACTCTAGAAGCTGCAGCAGGACCCGGGGTGGGGGTCTCAGGTCCCTCTGTGGGGCACAGGTGGCCCCGGGAGGGCGGAGGAGTCACATTGGCACTGGCTTCCAGGGGACCCTGGCCAGGGGTGCAGGCTCCAGCGGGGATGGGGACTCTGCGCTGTCTCAGAGGCCAAGGGCCCAGTGAGGCACCCACAGACACGAGCTCCATGACTGCAGTGGGCCGTGGATGGCAGAGGCCGCCTGGGTTCTATTGTTGAAACCTTAGTGGCTCTGTGAGCCACTGGGCCATGCCCTGGCTGCCAGTGCCGAAAGCTTTCTGCTCCGGGCTGGAAACTTCTGGAAGGCAGGTTTCCCGACCTCCTGGTGCACTAGGCTGGGCCTTGCATTCTGTGCCCTTAGTTGGCAGTATCCTGGGTGCATCGGATGCCTGGCCCAGGGCGCCTGGCTCAACCCTAGGGAGGAGGACACCAGCGCTGGGGTGCAGCCCTGGGCTCCCTTCCCAAGTCCTGGTTCCTGGACTCCCCTCTGGGGGCCCCGAACTCAGCTCAGCAGTCAGACACCCGAGTGACCATAGGTCAGGGTGCAGCAGGCAGAGGAGGCAGTGGTTCTTGTGCCTGTCCTGCCCGCCCGTCCTTGGTCTTGGGTCCACTTCCCCTTGGGACCTGTGAGAAGGAGGGGCGTTGGGGCCCAGGACACCTCTCCGTCCCTTTCCACTGTTTTCCGACTGAGCTGTGATTGCATCTCAGAGTTTACTTGGGCGAACACCTCCTGGGTTCAGCAACTGCGGTCGGAAGTGGCTTGGGGGTCCCAGCTAGGAAACAAGAGAGGGCTGAGGGGCTTTTTCAGCCCCCCTAGCACCTCCGCCCCCTGTGGATGTGCTCCGTTCTGCTCTGTGTGTTTGGGGGTTCGCCTGGGCTCCGTCCCAGCTCTGCCGTGAGTCCCCAGCAGCCTGCATGTCCTCCTCTGAGGTGCCTGGTGACACCTCAGCAGACACAGCTCAGCTTTGAGGCTTCTTGTTGGATTTAGGAATGTTTGCTTGGGTTTTACAAGTTCAGCCTCTCCAACTCCCAACCCTGAAACCCAAGCTGCTGCAGAATCCCAAGCTGTGTCCCCTCGGTGCTGAGGAGCCCAGTGCAGGCACAGCGGGCCAGGTTCCCAGTGGTGACACTGACCTGTAGGGGTCCATGGGTGGGCACAGCAATTTGAAGGCCAAGCAGGGGGCTGGGGAGCTGCAGGCGCTGGGCGTGGAGAGATGCTGACCCTGTGCTCTCACTTGCTCTGTTTCATGTCCACCCCTCTGGCTGGTGGCCGCTGATCAGTGAAAAGTGAGTCTGTCCCCTCCCGTCTTGGGGAGTTGGGTGTGTGGGGACTGGGCAGACATGGGGCAGGAGCCTGGAGATCGCTGAGAGGGGACTCGGGCCTGGTCAGCGAGCGGGGCAGGGTACACAGTGGTCCTGCCATGGAGGAGGCTCAGAAAGCTGGGGAGCCCTGGGGTGATGCAAACCTAGAACTCCTGTCCACTGTCCAGCAAAAACCCAGCTGAGCTTCCCAGAGGGCCATGGGCAGCAGGGGGCGGGGCATCTTGCTGAGGAAGAGCCCAGGTGACCAAGGGCGTGTTCTTTTGTTTATTTAGGGTTTTCTGAGACAGGGTCTCAGTGTGTGGCTCAGGCTTCCTCCTGCCTCGGCCTCTCCAGGGCTGGGCTGACAGGACCCTGTCACGTGCCCACGGCAAGGGTGCTCCCTGCCAGCTTCCTAGGCACTGGAGCACAGCCCTGAAGGGAAATGGGGTCTGGGTGGGAGCTGGGGTGTGGCTCAGGGGTGAGCACGGCCCTGGGATCCAGGACTGGAAAGAACAATAGAACGAAGCCCCATGGCCTTCTGGCCTAGGTTACCTGCACCCTGGGGGCCTCCCTGACCCTGTGGAGGGCGGAGGAGGCAGGGTCCCCACCTTTTTTCTCCTCCTCTCTTGATCTCCACTGCCACTGGCTCTTCTCCTTGCTGCTGCCACTGCCGGCTCCACAGTCCTGAGGCGTGAGTGCACCCCGCACCCTGCCCCCACATCTCACCTCGGCCAGGGGCTCCTGCATCTGGGGTGGGGGTACACAGCTGCTGGCTCTCACTGGTCAGACACTGGGGGTTGGAGAGACTGACACCCATCATACGCTGGAAGCAGCCCAGCCCTTGGCATTGGTCTATACCCGGGACCCTGTGGAGCAGGGCTGACTGTGTATGGAGGCCAGGTCTGTCTGTCTGTCTATCTGTCCATCAGATGGGCTTGACCCATCTCACCACACTGTCCCGGAGTCTCTGGGGGTAGGCAGGCGCCACACACCTTCCTCAGCCTCCTGGGATCCAGACGCTGCCCCATGCACAGCTGTGTGGAAGCAGGACGCCCCTGCTGTCCCCGAAGCTGTGGCCTCTGTCCCTGTGGCTGTGCAGGGGCCGGCCTGGGCCTTGTGCTGTGTGCCACTTCATGGTGCTGTGTGCCAGTGCCAGGTGGATGTACACCGCACAGCGGGGACCCTGTGCCATGATGCACAGGCTGAGCTCCAGGGAAACTGGGTCTGCGTGAGCAGACAACAGAAAGCCGCCCAGAGTCCACCGTGGGTGAAGGGATAGCAGCCTGGCCACACCCAGAAGGCAGTCTGCTGGCCAGGGCAGGATGGGGCGGGGCAGCTGCCGCAGCTGGAGGCCTAGGGAGGAAGCTGGGGTGTCCAGCCGGAGCTGGGGTGGGAGTGCCTGCCTGTGGGATATGGGGGTGATGGCTGATGGGTGTAGGGGTTCCTTCAGGGTGATAAGATGCTCCCTAGTTAGCTGCAGTGATGGTTGTGTAGCTGTAAATAGAAAAAAACAAGACTTCTATACTGGTCATGGAGGACCTGTGAGCCCTGTGGATTATATGTAAATCAAGTTGTTGTAAGAACAGGCTCTGAGCCCGCCACCGTGGTGCAATCTGTAATTCTAGCACTGGGGAGGCTGAGGCAGGAGGACCGCTAGGAGGTTGAGGCCAGCCTGAGCTACATGGTGAGACCCTGTCTCCAAGCAAACCGGGCTGTACGAACTCTGGGTGGAGTGGCTTTGTCCCCCTCAATGGGAGCTCGTAAGAGGCCACCTGCACCACACTATAATAGCAGACACCAAGACCCCACGGAGGAGAGGATGGGGTTCCTCCTGCCAGCCCCGTCCTGTAGGGGTCCTCAGTGCTGGATCCCCCAGCCTGCATGGCCCCGCCTCTGCCCCGCTCCCGGCTGATGCTGTGCCTTTGTCCTGCTGGCCTGGGTGCTGCCTGGACCGCTATCTCCCGATGGACCACGAATGACCACGGACGGCAGAGATCCTGGGTGAGCTGCCTCCTTCCCTGCCTCTGCCCACTGCAGGTGGCCCACTGGGCCCCAGCTCCAGCCTCTCTAGAAAGCTGCGGCTGTCCCTGGGTGGGTAGGCGGGCACAGGGCCACCCTGCGGGGCAGCAGTGTGGCCTTGGTAATCCGGCTGCCTTGTGATCCCGTTTCTGTGTCACTCTCCCCAGGTTTGCTGAGCCTGCAGGTGCTGACCGGTGAGTCCTGCGAGAGCTCGGCACTACCTGTTGGCTGCACTGTGGGCCGTGGGCACCACCCGACCTCCCGCTTTTTACCGACATCATAATTGGCCCAAAGACCCAGCACCTCTCTGCCCATCAGCAGATATTAATCACTGTGCTGTCTTATGCTAGGAGTTGGGGAAGAAAAGGGAATAAAACAGACACAATCTGTGTCCAGGGAGGAAAGAAAGAAAAGTGTTTAGGTGGCACTGGTCATAGTGGCACTGTCTGTAATCTTACATTCCAGGAGGCTGAGGTGGAGGATTGCAAATTCAACCCCGGCATGGACAACCTAGCAAGAACCTGTCACAAAATGAAAAATAAATGGGCTGGTGGAGTGAAGGAGACAGAGGTGCAGTGTAGAGAGGCCGACCAGGATTGAGTGATCAAGAAAGGCATCCCCATCCAGGTGTGATGGCTCACTCCTGTAATCCCAGCATTCAGGAGGCTGAGGCAGGAGGATCATTGCAAGTTCGAGACCAGCCTGGGCTACAAAGTGAGCTCAAGGCCAGTCTGAACAGCATACAGACTCTGTCTCAAAAAAAAAAAAGACAATAAAGGCACCCCCTGAGAGAGACCTGCAGGTGGTGAGAACCAAACACACCCACCGAGGGTGGCACATACAAAGGCCCTGGGGCAGTGAGGAGGTTGCAGGGGGCCTGGGAACTATGCTTGTCATTGGGCTCCTTCCAATTCATAATTCACTGGTGACTTTTCTTCTTCCTCTCCCTCCTTTCTGCACTCCTCTGCCTCTTTCCTTTCTTCTTTCTTCTTAGATGAAACCAGCGACTGCAGTGAAGGTGAGTGTGGATGCCGTGTCTCTGCCATCAGGGCTGTGCTGAGAGCCTGAGAGAGGAACTGTTCCTGCACCTGGAAGGGCAGGTGCATGTGCAGAGTCCTGCTCAAGCCTAACCAGACCCTTGAGGTGGGGAAACAGTGTTTTTGTTTACTTCTGCTACCCAGGGAGCCCTCTTCTTCCTCCTGGAAGTGACTGGGTGAGTCCTGAGTTCCAGGGTTGTGTGAGTGGCATCCAGACAGGAAGCAGCTGAGCCAGGGACCAGCACCTGTGGGTGTCTGTGCTAAGAACCAAGCCACACTGCAGGAAGGGAGCAGTGGGTGGGGAAGAGGCTCCCTCTGTGTTCCCAGCCACTACCTATGCCCACATTGCTACCCGATTGCTGCTCCTGCCAGGGCGGAGTAGATTCCACTTGGAGTGCAGACTCTGCTGTGAACTGTGCCCACGGTGGGTGGGTAGGAGACTCTGATGCTGATGATCTGATGCAGAGCTGAGGCAGTGATGCTAGCGCTGGGCAGCAGGTGTGAATACAGGTGAGCATAAGCACAGAGGTCTGGCTGCACAGAGACCCAAATAAATCAACTGCTCAAAGACTCCATGGCATGTGTGCCAGGGCTGCAGATGCATTCTGTGATTGACTACGAGTCAGGAGAACCGCAGTGACCTTCTTGTGTTGGTGCGTACTTGATCTGGCCTGCGGATCAATCCGTGGAGTGTACCTGGAGGGGGAGTGGGGATTAAATAAAGACATGGGGGAGACAGAGAGAGAGACTGAGGCAAGTTGAGAGAGTCCAATCAAGTCCCGTTTATTCTGGAAGTGATTACATCTTTTATAGGCCAAGGGCGGGCTGGTGGGACAGGAAGAGGCTACGGGGATGAATACAACAGGGTCATTGTCACGTCCGGGTATGTGATGTAAGCAGGAGAGGATTATGGTTAATGTAGGCAGACGCATTGTGCCCATAGGAGAGAGTGAGGCAGGGAGGCAGCAATAGGGCTGTTGCACGGCTCCCTACAGTGCGTGAAGGACAGGGGGCTTTCTGGTTTCACTATTTGGCTCAAGCAGGTTGCTTCTGAGTGTGGGTCTGTCTGCTGTGTCATCTATAAACCTTCGATCGCCAAAAACATTACCCGGACTCCACAGCCCCTGCAGGGTGTGAGGTCCATGCCCTTGAGCTGCTGTCTGTGTGGCTCAGTGAGTCGGACTCAGTGCACACGCACTCTCTCTTCTACACAGAAGGGATATTTGATATGGTTCAGACACTAGCAGAGCCTTAGAAAGGGCCAGGGTGGGACCTCCTTTCTCCCAGCGGGGGCATGATTCCGTCTCAACTCTCCAGAGAGTGGGACATCGCTTTCCAGCCACAGATGGCCGCCACACAGCAAGGACTGGGTCCATGACCAGCACTGGAACTGAGCACACTGGAAGAGGATCAGCTGCTTCAGACTGCAAACATCTGTAGCCTTCAGTGTGTGTGTGAGACTTCTCATCTCCACCTGGATGCACGTCCAGGTGGAGTAACCTGAGGTTCCCGAGGAAGCACTGAGAAGCCAGTGGCCACCTCTGTGGAACAGGCTTCCCCACAAGGAGGATGCCCACAACAAGACCCGCGGGGCTGGGTGGGAGTGACACACTGTGGTGCCAAGGTCTCCAGGCCCCTGAGGTGCCATCTGGTATTGGAAAGACAAGCTCAGGGCTCCCACTAGTTCATGAGAGATGTGTGACTGTGGCAGGGGAGTCTAGAAAAGTCACCCAGAACATGGGAAGGCTAGAGTTAAAGGTTTGCAGCCAAAGTCAGCTTCTGCTGCTGGGCTTCCCAGCATGAGGGGTGCTGGAGAACAGAAAAGGGGTTAAAAGAAAGTGCAGCAACCCCAGGACTCAGGAGGCTGAGCAGGAGGGTCAGTGTGGGTTTGAGGCAAGCCTGGACTGCACAGCAAGACCCAGTCTCAAAACAGAGCAAAACAACAGAACAGAAGAAGTGGAGTGGGAGGAGAGGAGAGGAGAGGAGAGGAGAGGAGAGGAGAGGACAGGACAGGACAGGACATGACAGGACAGGACAGGACATGACAGGACAGGACAGGACAGGACAGGACAGGACAGGACAGGAGGCCTGAAGCAGGATAAGGGAAGTCAGGATGGAGACAGAGACACAGAGACCCAGGGGACCTGGTGAGCTGGGGCTCGGGTTCCAGAAGAATAGGAGAGGAGGAGGCAGAGGTTAAGTTTCTGAGGATTAAAAGCTTGAGGAATAAACCTAGAGAAAAGCTGTGATCAACGCTGCCCTAAATGGCTGAGGAACAAAGGGCTATTTGAAAACCCGCACTTCCCTCCTTGAGAGAAAGATGGGGACCCAGGACCCAGGACCCAGGACCGCAGTAACCGAACCGGCAGAGCCAGGCTGCCTCTCGGACTCTCCCTGAAGATGGAAACCAGGCATTTTCCAACTCATTTGGAAGACAAAATATCCTAGATGGATGGTTTCACAAACAGAGGACTAGAGAGAATGTCAGGACCATGGTTCTCATAAAGACAGACATGAAATCCTAGGCTCACATTAACTAAAGCACCGGGGCAAAACATTGTTAAAACTCGTCATCAAGTTGAGTTTATTCCAACAACGGGAAGATTATTGGATGTATGCAGATCAGTGCGCGCGCTTCTCATTAGCATAAAGGATATGCTCGGTAGACACAGAAGAGGGATGTGCTGAAACAAGATAGCTGTTCATGATTTTTAAAAAATCTTAGCAAACCAGGAATAGAAGGGGACCCTGTACCATCATGAAGAACAGTTACCAGAAACGTACAGGGAGGGTCATGCTGGTAGGGGGCTCTTTGCTGCAAGAGCCGGAATGGGACCCCATTCCTGCTGCCCCACGAGTTTCCCTCATGGAACCCCATGTTCTACCAGGCAGGTCCCACCTAGGCCCCAGGGGCCCAAGAGAAGAAAGAAACCTAGAGTGAGCCTCTGCCTGGGGTTAGGACAGGATGGACCGGGAAATGTAACCCCAGACTGATGGCACCAGGGGGAGCCCACTTTCTGTTAGAGCTTTGCCGGCCTCCCACAGGGTCACAGACTTGAGGAGGCTCGGGTCCTGACCTCAATCCCCAGCACAAAACCCACCCCTAAATTCTCCAAGAAAAGGAGGTAGAACAGAACAGGGGCTGCAGGGGCAGAGGGAACTCTGGCTCTCTAACAGAGGCGCCCCCGGCCGTCCTGTCCCTGGGGCAGAGACCCTGACGCCCTTCCCTTGGGGGAGAGAGGTTTACAGCCCAGCCTTTGCCTGGCCAGGAAGGTACCTCACCTCATGGCCGAGGCACCCCCAGGCCAGCACCCCTAACCTCATGTTTAGTATCAACTGTAACCTGTGCCTCCGTCAGTCCTGCTCCTGAGCGGTGGGTTTTGGGGTGCTCTGGATGTGAATCATGATGATAGCATGGCCTGTGTGCTCTCCAATAAGCAGTCAGCACAGGATACTTTAAGGAGGCTTAGGCTGGGTGTGGTGGTGCACAGCTGTAACCCCAGCACTTGGGAGGCTGAGGCAGGAGAATCACTGTGAGTTTGAGACAAGCCTGGGCTACAGAGTGAGCTCAAGGCCAGCCTGAACTGCATAGAGAGACCCTGTCTCAAAACGTGGTGGGGGAAAAAAAAGCTTGCACACCTTCCAGAAAGAGAGGCTCATAGCTGGGGGTTCCCTGAAGCAAATGCTCCAGGAAAAGAGGTGAGGAAGATCCCAGAACTCTGAGGAGGGAGGGTTACGTCTTTGCCTTTTCTAATTTACCATTCAGTATTTACTTTTACACTGGTGATGTCCCATGGCTTTGACCTGGGGATCTGTGCAGGCAGGCAGGTGCAAACGGAGTCTTCCTGACTGTAATATTTGTAAATGGGGGGGGAACACTGGGGGGCAGAAGCAGCCCCTCCGCTGTGACATCGGAAGTGAGTTGTTGCCGTGGTCAGGGGCAGGAGCAGGAGCAGGAGCAGGGTCAGGAGACCCTACAGGGGGAGGACAGCATGCACTGCTGAGAGGCAGCACAGCGGGGTCACTCTTAGGGTGCTGGAAGATGGGGAAGCTGGTGTGTACCTCGATGTCCCAGGCTGGTCACAGAGGCGGGGGCTGTTGTGTCAGGCAGGGCCAGGGTCCTGGATGGGCAGCCCAGGCCGTGTCTGTCGTTGTCTCCAGAGAAGCTCGGCCTGGCCACCACACCTGGGCGGCCAGTCCAGAGGCGGAACAGCTGGAGCCTGCTGAGGTGCACCTACATGGTGGTCACCTTCCTGTTCGTGTCCTACAACAAGGGAGACTGGGTGAGGAGAGTGCACTGCCCCCGGGGGTGCAGAGGATGGGTGGGGTGGGGGGAGAGGTCAGCAGGGGTGACCTCTGTCCCATGAATCCAAGGACTTGGCTCCTGCTCACTCTGGGTTGCAAATGGGGACAGGTGGAGCAGGGCCAGGAGGTCCTAGTGCAGCAGGGGCTGTGGGCCAGACGGGGATGGGAGTGGTCCATGGAAATGGAGCCCCAGATGTCACCTGGAATGCTGTGACCCCAGGGGACACTTCATGGCCCATGCCAGAAGCCTGGGAGGAGGCGGGGTGGGGGAGAGGCTCCTTTGCACAGGGACCTGCATGCCACAGCCAGGCCCAGAGAGCTGGCAGGGAGCAGCGGCCTCGGGACAGGGTGGGGACAGGGACAGAGGGTGGGGCAGCCCAGGGAGATGCTGGCTCACCTGCTCACCCACTCTCTCTGTTCTTCCCCAGTGCTATTGCCACTACTGCAACCCGGACACAGATGTCAGGTAGCTCCTCCCACCCTGGGCCCAGGATGCAAGGTGGTGGGCAGGGCTGGGGTGGTGAGGGGACGCCCAGGCCCACGCCCTAAGCTGTATCTGCAGATTTTAGAAATTATGGAGAATACACAGAACATAAACAGTTTACCTGGCTGGGCACAGTGGTGCACACCTGTAACCCCAGCATCCTGGGAGGCCAATGCAGGAGGATCCCAGGTACGAGCCCAGCCTGGGCAACACTGAGTTAGCAAGATCTTAGGAACCACTGATCTATTCTCTGTCTCTGTTGACTTACCTATACTGGGCATTTTGAATCAATACAGGATATGACTTTTTGTCAAGTTTTACTCACTTAGTATAATATTTTCAGATTTCATCTATGTGCAGTGGTTTTTATGCACCACTCTTTTCATGGCTGAATAATATTCTGCCGTCTCCACTTTGTAACTACCATGACCAGTGCTTTTATGAACATGTGTGTGCAATTCTGTTTGAACCTGTTTTAAACTCTTTTGGGGATATGTCTAGGGGTACAGCTGCTGGGTCATATGAAGTGCTAGGTTGACCTTACTGAGGAAGCCTCTCAGTAGGTTTTTACTGCCCTGCTCTTTGACGGAACCTAGATTCAGTGGTGAACAGGATGCTCAAGGAAGACAGAAATCAAATGACTGCAGCTGCTGTTTAAGCTCCAGAGGCAAAGAGCAGGGGAGCCCCTCTGGGTCATGGGGTGAGGAGAGTGACATGGAGCCGGAGGTCTGTGGACAGAGGCGCCAACAGCTGGACAGAAGGCGGGGCATCGGGGGTACAGGAGCTGGGGCAGGGCAGGGCAGGGGGAGGGCCTGGAAGCCACAGAACAAGTTTGCCGTCTGGCTTTGATCCTGGGAGCAGCTGAAAGGTTCTCAGTGGGACAGTGATGTCCCAGTGACTCAGAGAGGCCGGGCGTCCATTCTGTGAGATCACAGGAGCCTGGACCAGCCCCAGCAGGCACATCCCCTGCCTGGATGGCCACAGCTGGCCTCTCCCACCTGGCCAACTCACTGCCCGACAGCCTCTTTGAAATCCTTCGAGGTGGCTCCAGTTGCCACTCTGGCTGCACATCCCCTGGGAACCTCACCAGCTGTGCCAACGGGTTTGTCTTTAAAAGAAAACAAAGCCTGAGGACCCTTCTGAAATTTTTTTACTTTTTAAAATTTTTCTTCTTTTTCCTTTTCCTTTTCTTCTTTTTTGTATTTTGAGACAAAGTCTTGCTATACAGTTCTGGCTGGTCTTGAACTAACTTTGTGGCCCAGGCTGGTCTCAAACTCGCAGCGAGCCTCCTGCCTCAGCCTCCCGAGTGCTGGGATTACAGGCATGAGCCACTATGCTGGCCTCCCCCACTTCTCTCTGCCATCATGCGTACAGTGCAGGGCTTTCTTTCCCCCAGGACAGGTTGTGCTGCTCTCCGCCTGCCTAGAAGAGGCCTCTGGGGCCTTAGGTTCCCCCCTAGCGCACAGGAAGGCCACTAACGGGGCGGGGCAGGGGTGGGGGTGGTGGTGCTGGAGGCACCCCACTCTCCAGCCTGCGTTCTCCCGTTGGCCTCCATGGGTCCGACTCTCTGGTCCCGAGCTGGCAGCTTCCCAGCGAAGCCCCCAGAGGGTTGTGCTGTGGCTGCTCGGTTAGGCTGTTTGGCCCAACGCAACGCATGCACTATGGGCCGCTGCGGCCTGGGGAGGCTGGAGGAGCACAGAGCTCGCGTCTGCAGGGCGCACTGTCCAGCCGTGAGGAAGGGTGCACGCTGGGCAGTGTGGCGGTGCACTCGGACTGGAGAATGCCCTGCTTCGGGTTGGAGGTCTGACATGCAGGACCACACGGGATGCGATCCTGTTCCGCACAGAGCCTGCTGTCCTGCGGGGGAGCTGGAGACGACCCCCTGCTGGGCGAGGGCGGAGCCAACCCTGCCGCCGCTGGGGTCCCGGGGAGAGGATGCTGCTGTGGACTGAGTGGGAGGCCGCAAACTGCGGACGGGGGGCGGGGGGGGGACTGGGAGGCAGAGGCGGGGGTCCGAGGAGGGAGTAAACAAAGGCGCAATGCGCTTCTCTCCGCCTCAGGACCGACCCCTGCTGCGCCTTCTAGCGGCTGCCCTGAGGACCTGGCCAGCTGGAGAGCGCGGATCTCCGCCCAGGGCTTATCTCCCGCCCGCTTACCGACTCCCCATCCCCTTTATTAAATAAACGTGCATCTGCTGGACGGCTGCGTGCTTGCTTCTCCCCATCCCCGCGTCGGGAGCCAGGCCCAAGCACTGGGTCTTGGCAGGGGTCCAGCGAGCCGCCCAAGCCCAGGCAGAGCCAGGGCGGTGCAGGGGGTCGGAGCTGAGCCCTCAAGGCCCTACTCTCCTCCCACGAGATGAACGTGGGTCTGAAGGCGCAGCTGTCCTGGCCCTCCTGCTGGCATGATTTTTTTTTTTTTTTTTTGAGACAGGGTTTCGCTACGTAGTTAAGACTGGCCTTAAACTCACAGTGATCTCCTGCCTCAGCCTCCTAAGTGTTAGGAGGGCAGGCACACCTGGCCCAGCTGGCACCATTCTTGACGCCAGGGGAGGGGGCCCCGGGTTCTGGCTGAGGGTCCAGGCTCTGTGGATGGGCTTCCTGGTTCCCACCTGCGCCGGCTGCCACAGGTCATGCAGCCTGGGTAGGGAAGGCGCTGTCTCTTTTTCTTACCATCTGTGGGGAAGGGGGTGGGGTGGTTAATAGTTCAGTAAAAGCCCTCATGATCAGAACCGGTACTTGGTAGGATCGTCTAATTAAAATACAGTATTTTGCTTCAAATTAGTAATTGTACCTCCATTTGCCAGTCTCTTGAAATAAATGCAAGGTGGGGGCTGAGAGTCTGAACCCACAGCTTCTTCTTTCCAACACTTAAAAAAAAAAAAAAAGAGCAAAAGCTGTCTGAACAGCTGTTGTGCCAGTCTGAATAGAATGCTTTTCTGCTGTGCTAACCATAGGTCCCTGTCTTGTCTTCCCCAAACTAAATTTGTTTTGATAGAAACCATTCTGCCCTCATCTTGTTGTACTCTAAGAAAATAGCTTCGTTATATGTGTATTATAGCAAACCTGCAACGTGGCTTACTAAATGTGTTTTTTTATCCTTTTTCCCTGATATTTTAAGTGACCTAATTGATATGTTGAGCAATACTCTCCTCTGTAAAGAATTGCAAGAATCTCACCTAATTGGTATGTTAACCATTGTTGCCCTCTACAAACTACAGAAGTTGTGCTAAAACAAGCTAACAAGGGTTGTTAATCACTGTTAGGTGCCTCTATTCTCCACTAAAGAGCTAAAGAAAATTAGGATGGCCCACTAATTTACACTTGTTTGAAGTAACTTGCTTGTGTGCAGGGAGATTTGCATATGAGTTTAACCCTTTACCTGACCTTGATTCCCTTCCCAGAAAGAAAAAAAAAAAACAAAACGTAACTGCCGTTTTCTGTTCTGTATGGTGCCTTATTACCTCCCTCTCCCCTTACCTATCTAGGCTAGGCCATAAAGAATTTGGGTTTCTGGTGACCTCTTCCCAACCCGGTGATGATCTGTCATAAAATGTGCCTTAGCTTCAGAGAAATTACAGGAAAATGTTGTGGCTTAACCCTAATACACCAAAAGGGGTAAGTTCCAAATCTTTATGAAGGCTTAAGTTTCAGCTTCTTGTAACTTTCAACCCCTTCCCACCTGTTAGTGTTAACGAGCTGTCCTGAGATCATTAGCTTTCTACTTTCTTCTCCAAATGCTATTGCAGATAATTCTTATCTGCAGGATGGGAGTAACTCAAAAGGCACCAAAGGCTCCCGAGGTTGTCAGAACTAAGTGGACAGCTATACAGTTTCTAGATTCAGGTCAACAAGTTTGATGGCTCTGCAGTTTTCTTTGTTTCTCCCCCCACCCCTTTTCCTCCAGCCTCTTTTTAAAGTCCTCCCTTTAGTCTCTAGCACACAGTCTCCAAATTGGCTCCCAGAGACTCATCGCCAGGCCTGAAAATAAAGCCTTAGTTTCCCAAATTTCAGTCTCTTGCTTCCTTGGATTTTATACTGGGGACCAAGTTATAACAATTTCCAGACCAGTCTGAGCTACAAAGTGAGCTCAATAATGAACTGCATAATGAGACTCTGTCCCAAAAGATAAAAAAACAAAGAAACAAAAGGTACAAAGACACAGGTGAAATCAGTTTGAAGAACGTGCTTTAAACTAAATGTATCCAAAATATTCTCAATGCAATATGTAATAATATTAATGACATTCGCCATATTTTATATATTCTTTGAAATCTGGCTTTTATTTATGGTACATTTCCAATTAAAATGCTAAATTTTCATAAACTCACTGATCTCTGGGGCTGGAGCGTAGCCCTTTCCCAGCACACAAGGGGCTCTGGAAAGGAAAAAACAGTTGACCTGTAATTTCATTTCATAAAATTTACAATTGAAAGCAGAACCACATATTCGTTATCCATTGATTGAATCAAATATCAATTTTGGGCACCAGAAATATAGCTCAGCAGCATAAGCACTTGCTAGGATTATTTCCAAAAGATGAAAAATATTTCCAAAAGATGAGAAGTATAAAATAAAAAGCGGCCTTTATTCTGAGAACACAGAGAGATGACTGGCACCCCCATTGCTGGCGTCCGGTGATCTCTCTGGCGGACACGTGGCGTGGGGGCATGTAAATAGCCTCAGTTTGGGGTGGAACCTAAGGCGGGCATTAGGGATACACAGGTAGCCCATTGGTCCTAGGTTTGGCGCCATATGTAAATTTTCAGGGGCGGGAAGATGGTGTCACAGGTAACTTCCTAGGGGCAGGGGAGATAGGGCTTCCTGATTCCAGTTGAGGTTTTCCTGGCTACAGTGTCCTGTCTGGGCCCAAACCCTTTCATATCCCATCTTATGATTATTATTATGAAAAGGGGAGAAGATTTCTCTCTTTAACTACTTCCTGCTGGCAGAGGGCACTGTACTGGAGCCTAAGGGAGTCGACGGGATGATGGTTGATGCCCAGGTAGACGCTGGTGCCAGGTGTTTTGGCCAGGACAGCTTCACTGGTGAATGCACATATGTTAGACTGGAAAAACAAAGAGACAAGATGTTATGAGGAGACATGGCACTGTCATATTTAAGGACCCAGGTGAGGTAGAGGAAAAGGTGACTTTGATTTAGACATGTTCCACGGTAAGGCACAATTCTGAAAATTAAATGTGGGGTTAGGAGGAGTAGTTATGAGAGGTGCTCACTCCCCCATCTGAAAGCATAAAAGTTAAAAGGTAGGTTGGTAAGGCTTGTCTCTGGCATGCATGACATTGGAATCTGTAGGCAATACTGTTAAAGAGCCCTCCTGTAAAATGATCATTAATAGAATGTAAGGAATTAGTAACCAAAGTGGATAACAAAACATGACTTAGTCTGTTAACTGTGGCTGCGGGGCCTTCATGAAATGGAGATGGGTGGGTGACAGAAGATGAGATGACCACTCAGATTTAGGGCTGGGAGGGCACCTCTTAGCCTGAGTGATGTGAAACGAGGATGGGAGTCCAGCAAGTTTGATTTAGGCATGGGTCGTTGTAACCTGGTTGTAGTCCTTGGAATGATTTGCTGTAACAGAACTTTAGCAAGTATGAGAAAGGCTTTTATGTATCCTGAAAAAGTATAAACCAAGTGAGAAGACAAAAATGTATCTGTGAGTCTTGACTAGGGTTACCTGAGAAACTGGTGAATAAGAAAGGAAGGGGGTGGTCTATATCACTGAGGAAGAGTCCACCAGCAACAACAGGTGGAAGCTGTTGAGGACTCAGTGTGTCTAAGTCAGCCTGTATAAAAGGCATTTTAAGATTTAGGACTGGGACCTGCACAAAATAGGCCCTGTTTGTAAATGGCATAGGTTGACCATCAATACCCTGTCATAGAGATTGAGGACTTAATATAGCAGCCTGAATACTCAGGAAGAACTCTGTATATATGGCCTCTATGTCCACAAATATAGAGAATGTCTTACCTGAGACTTTAGTGCGACTTGGAATCTGAGACAGACACCTTAAAGGGGGCTGTTGTTGCCCTGAACCCCCTCAGTCTTCAGCAGCAATTTTCTGTCGGTGACAAATCTGGCAGTGTCGACATTTTCTGTGAGGGCTAGAAGTTAGGATGGCTTACCCACGCTTTGGTGGCTAGGACAGTCCAGCAACCCTGAAGTAAGGTCTCAAAGAACGCCAGGATGGAGCATTTTGTTGTCCAATGTCTTCTGCTGCATTTGAGCGTGGTCCATGGGGGGGTCAGGCAGCTCCACCTTGTGTAGGTTTACCTGCCTCAGAACTCCAAGTGTCACAGGTGTTAAAAATATAAAAAAACCATATTAAGATCTCTCTAAGGTTTGAAGGTCAAGTTTTGCCTTTTTGTTTGGGATTTGGACTATAGTAGAATTAAGTAAGTATGCAGGAATTTAATTTTGGCATTTTAGATTAGAGAGCAGGCTTTATCTGGATGGCACGTTGCTTTTTTATAGGGTGACACGTAGAATTAACAAAAAAAGCTTTAGTCTGCCAAACAAGGCTTTAATGGAAACATTTTGCAGTAAAAGTTTAGCAATCTTATGAATAAATCTATCAAAACTGATCTAATACTATCAAATTCTGAACACATTTACTTTTAAAGTTGTTATTTGCAGTAGTATGAACCAAGACAAATAAAATAAAACTTTGAAGAAAACCCTTGTCTTGAAATAGAGCTAGTGGTTCCAAGCAAAAAGGAATTTATAACCTTAGTTGTTAAACGGGAGAATGCTGAAGGTTTTGATTGATAAACAAGGCTGGTAAAATTATCAGGTGGCCAATAACCTTGATTAAATGGTTTGAGAATTGTAATAAAAAAATAGCATCTTTTGAGCAGAGCCAAATTGTAAAAAAAAGCATGCCTGAGCAGAACCGCTGAGCTGCTATTTTGTGGCACTCTGGCAGAGCACACCCAGCGTGGGGGTGGGGCAAGTGCCGGGAGGTAGCGTGCAGGGGCGGGGCGGGCTGGGACTGCCCCTGGAAACGCGTAAGGTGGCAGCGGCGGCGATGACAGCGCACAGGGGAGGGAGGGGCTGGGACGGCGCATGGGGGAGGGGTTGGGAGGCGGCCCAATGCAGCGCGCAAAGCTGAAACTGCTCGTGGGGCACGAGCGTTAGAAAGCCAATTTAGGAACACAGCTGGGTTTTTATTAGCCTCCTGGACCTGTTTTAAAAGTTTGTTATAGTTAGTATGCTTGTCCTGCTCTGGTACAGGTATAGGCTCAGAGTCATTATCAGGCGTGTTTACCTTATGTCTGTGATCAGCTGCTTGCCACAGCTGATTCCGTTCTTGTGAGCTGAGAGTGGTATTTGGAATCACATAAACATCCTTAAAATGTAAATCATAACAATTAGTAATAAATTTAAATTGCCTGATATAATTTTGTGGGTCAACAGAGAGGCTACCTAATTCAAGGGTAATCTGAGATAGATCAGAAAGGGAAAAGGACACATGGATGTTAACAAGTTCCTTGGGGCCAGCTTGCTCCCGAAGCAGTAGCAGAGCCTGAGGAGAAGATTCCGGAGCAGAGGGCCATTGGGCAGCCATCTGTCCAGTAGGCGTGTGTGAGCAATCATCTGTAGAGGGCCTACAGAGCTGCTGCTGGTCATCCTGGGAAACACAGGCAGATAGCGTCTCACTGTGTGCCTTGCAGTGAGAGGACTGCTGTGGGCAGCACAATGAAGCCTCATGTGCACTGCAACAAGGTGGCTGTTGCAGTTCACAAGAGGAGCCACAAGGGGGCGCCAGTTCGCAGTGAGGGTCCTGGGAACATGGCAGTGCCTTGTCACGTGACCCAAAACATGGTGGCGCCATGCCACGTGGCAGAGGGTTGCAACATGGCGACTGTTCCCGGCGCAAGCTGGAACAATCACGCAGCCTGCTGGAAGTTACATAGCGACCGAGACCTAGTGTGGTGGGCGGGCGGTGAGAATGCTGTAGGGGATAAAGAATTCTCAGGAGAAGAAGAAGTCAGAGACTAAGAGGAAGCACTAACAGAGGGATCAGAGCTGCTGGGAGGTTATGGGTCCCAGGAGACGGAGGGGAAGAGGATTGCACAGTGGGAGATAACTGCGACACAGAGGGATTAGAGCTGCTGGGAGAGTTATGGGTCCTGGAAGGTGGAGAGGGAGACGATTGCACAGCAGGAGGTATCTGCGATGGAGAGGGATTAGAGCTGCTGAGAGAATCAGGCATAGGGGGAGGGGAGAGCGGTCCAGCGGGAGGTAACGACAGGGAACGAGTTTGGTGGTAGGCAGGCGGCGGCCGGGAAAACACCGGAGGGCATGACAGAAAAGTTGCGGCGCAGTAGACTTAGCTAAAAGTATCTGAGTGGGAGCACAAGACTTAATGAGAGATGGGCATGTTCTCAGACTAAGAAAGGCCTGAATATAAGGGAGTTCTAATAACTTGTTGCCAGCTTGACAAAAATCATACAAGTTCCTGAGAATGCTGGGGTCAAATGCTCCTTCTTTGGCCAACACTTGCCGATAAGCGGGTAAGTTGGCCAGACCTCTTGGCAGTAAAAAGTTAATTGTTTAGCTTTTATGGTGCTTTTAATTTTTAGAGTACGTAAATTGGAAATTAGGCATTGTAAAGGCATCTTTTGGGAGTTAGAAAATACGTCCCCCATGACTGATTCAGGCAAGAAAAAAGCCGGAGGTCCAGAACAAGCTGTCACTTGTTTGTGGCACCACACAGCAGCTATGGTTCCAAAAACTCATATATTCCAGTCGTCACTCAGAGATTTACAAGTGGAGCCCGCGCGGGGTCAGTAACAGTTTTGCTGGTGAAAGCGCAAGGCTTTAAGGGAAGTGAGGCATTCTTTCAGTGTGGGCAGTCCCAAAAATCTCTGCTTTGGGCTATCTGAACCCAAAGAACGTGAAAGATTTTGTGGACACAGGTTTTCCCAGAAAGAACCCTGCCCTGGGCTGTCCTAAGGACGTGAAAATGCACAGACCCATGTAAACGGGGAGAACAGTCGACGGGCTCCCCAGTGCCAAAAGTTCCCCGGGGAGTGCTCACCTGAAATCAATCTGGCTGATGCTGAGTGCAGGCGGCTGGTGACAGGGACGTCTCGGGAGAGGAAAAAGCTCGGGATTAATCCAGGATGTTATCTGGTTATCCGCTAGGGGACTCAACTGGGTGTGTGCCAGGAGTCAATCGCCTGCCGATTGAGTCACAGCAAAAATGCTAGGATTATTTCCAAAGGATGAAAAATATTTCCAAAAGATGAGAAGTATAAAATAAAAAGCGGCCTTTATTCTGAGAACACAGAGAGAGATGACTGGCACCCCCACCACTGGCATCCTGCGATCTCTTCCCGCGGACAAGGTAGCGAGGGGGGGCATGTAAATAGCCTCGGTTTGGGGTGGAACCTAAGGCGGGCATTAGGGATGTACAGGTAGCCCATTGGTCCTAGGTTTGGTGCCATATGTAAATTTCCAGGGGCGGGAAGATGGCGTCATAGGTAACTTCCTAGGGGCAGGGGAGATAGGGCTTCCTGCTTCCGGTTGAGGTTTTCTTGGCTACAGTGTCCTGTCTGGGCCAAAGCCCTTTCACACTTGCCTGGCAAGCATGAGGTCCTAAGTTCCATCTCTGGTACCAAAAAAAAAAAAAAAAAGGGAGACTGAGGCAGGAGGACTGTTACAAGTTTGAGACCAGCCTGGGCTCATAGATACCTCAAGCCCAGCCTGAACTGCATAGTGAAACCCCGTCTCAAAAGCAAAAATAACAAAACAAAATCAATTTTGAAATTTTAATTGAAACAAAATAAAAAGTCGGTTCCTACCCATAACCCAAGCCTAGTCATGAACAAACACCACTCAATTCCAGCAGAAGGGCGATGCCCAGCACTTCTCAGGATGGACAGAGGAGGCTGGGGGCCACAGCAAGCCAGGTCACCAGGCCCGGGTATGACAGGGGCGCTGTAAACCTGGGGGATGATAACCAATAACCGCGGGGGTGGGGGGCTTAGGGCTACAAGGGAATCATTGCAGCTTTTCTGTGAGTATAAGGTTACTTCCACAGTAAAGTTTAAAATTTCAAAAGAACTGGATTCTTTTTTTTTTTTTTTTGTCTTTTTCCTTTTTATCGGTACCGGGGATCGAACTCACGACTGCCTGCTTCCAAGGCAGGCGCTTATGCCGCTGAGCTAAACCTCCAGCCCCTCAAATAATTTTTTTTTTTTTTTTTTTGTCTAAGAACTGGATTCTTCATTGGCACTGATTTTACCCCTTCACCTCTCCGTTCCCCACTCTGTAAAACAGGCTGTGGGGGTCACCAGGCAGGGACTGAGCCAGTGGGCTCCTGAGCTGCAAAAAGGAACCGGAAAAGTGTGGCCCATTCCACAGGGATGGCCCCGGGGTTGGTTTGTTTTAAAGACAGTCATCTAAACATTCCTCGAATTGCCTCAACTTGTTCCTCTGGCTTAGGATGCACCCCTACACTTTGGGCCAATGTGCAGACTTCGCGCATTGCTGAGGAATCCGGGCTGTGAAGGGTGAAAGGGCAGGACGGGCGTCCTAATGTAACCCAGGGCGGCTGACAAAGACCGATGATGGGCCACTTAGGACACCGTTTCCTTGCTCCCTCCTCCGTTGTTCTGTCACACCCAGCGAGCGGTACCAGCTTCATGGCTGCGGGGTTACAAGGACAGCTCTGGATAGGAGCTAGGCCTCTAGTCAGCCCACCGTTGCTATGGTTATCACGCGTCCTGTTGCTGTGGTTACGGTTAGTCCTGCTGTTGCAGTGGTTATGGTTCCTGTGTCAGGGCAGAAGTGGGCTCAGAACCCAGGCTTTCTGCCTGATGGGCGGGGCAGCGCCCGGGGACACCGGTTCCTCCCGCAACAGAGCGGAGGTCTACACTTGGAGCCGCCACCGCCTAGAGGGCAGCGCTGGGTTGGACTAGTCCCCGAGCTGTGAGCGACGTCAGTGACGTCACCACGTAACCAGGGAGAGGGGGAGCCGCGTTGCCATGGTGACCGCCAAGCGCTCAGACCGACCGCAAGGCTGGCGATCCTTGCCACCTGGCCCAAGAGCAGAAGAGGCAACTCTGCGGCGGGGTGGGGCTGGGGACGCTCATTCCGGGCACCCCGCAGCCCCCAGTTTCCCAGCAGACGACTCGGAGAAACCACTTAATAAGCCTCATCAACCTACCGCGTCGCCCCGGCCGCAGGCGTTTTACCGCACTCCAGTCTCCTAACAAACGCGCCTCCCACTCGCGGGTTTCTTGATACCACAATACCCAGAAGTCTCCGAGCCTTCTCCTGGCTACGGGTTGCCTTGGAGACAGCGAGACGCCGGAATTCTCGAGATAGAGGCGGGGCCAAACCGAATGGAGGATTCCGATTGGCGAAAAGGCCTCACAGGCAGGACGGAATGGCGCATGCGCGTTATAGGGCTCTTTCCGGGGCTTGAAGTGGCTTCCAGCGACTTGAGTGACATTCTCCCACCCATCCCCTCAAATTCCCCCCCACCCCCCAGCAGCTAGTTCGCAGCCTGGCTTTCCGGGCTTCATGGTAACAGCTTCTCTGCAACCGCCTGTGATGTCACAGTTCCCTTGGGTAAACAAAGCAAATTTGAAAAGGTTGAGGGATCAGAGCTACACCGCCAATTTAGCATCCTCATCCAGGGGATTGTAGAGGAAGGAATCCGACCCCCGCCTTTGGGAGCTGAACAGATATGGCGCTGAACCTCTTCCCACAGTCCCCGCTGTACGGGTCTACCTGCTAGAAATGCATAACCATGAGTTAATAAGGCCCAGTAATCATAGCTAAGACCCATCTCCCTCATCATCATTCAGCCCTGTGCTTGACAAGTTCCCCAAGCGTTCCCTTAGTTCCCCAAGCATTCCCAAACCTCCCCTGGTGGTGCTACTGCTCCTTGTCACTGAAAAGCCCCATTGTGACCTTTTGCCTCTGGGCCAAACCCGACTTTATACCCATGACCCTAAAGAAGGCCTAGCAGCTTGCATGCACCACAGAAGCCAGTCTGGTCTCTCTTGCCACAGTGGTCCCTTAAGTGCATCCATTTGCCTATAAAATGTTCAATTTATCCCTTTTTATGCTGGAGGAGTACTCCATTGTATAAAAAATACATCTTTTTATCCGTTCCTTTGTCGATGGACACTTAGGTTGTTTCCAAGATCTGACTATTACAGACTCTGCTGCTATGAACACGGGTGCATGTGTGTCACTGTGATATGATGTTGTTTTTTTTTTTTTTTTTTTTTTTTTTTTAAGAGGAAAAAGAGAAAAACACAAAACAAAACAAAGCAGTGTAAGGTTACATATAATACAGAACTACAAAAAAAAGCATAACAGTAAGAAATCACCTGTTAATAGATTACATATTATCATCTTGGAAATAGTTGCTCAAATCACAGTATCAAAGAATACAAAGTAGACATTCAAACAGAGAGACTACAAACAGCTGTGTTCAATGATCCAAAAACATTAATATAGTCAGCTATTCAACATCCCTATACACACTTGCTGTTATATCCGTTAGAGCTCTTTTTTCCCCTTCCTCTCTTTTTACAACAAAATTTACACATTTTAGATTTTATTACTCCTTAGTTCTTATTACTTTTTTGGGGGGGGAGAATAAAGTCAAATATGGCAGAACAAAGCTGTCAGTGAAAACCAAGGATAGACTTAGCACATGATGTAGAACAGAGTATACGGTTATTAACAATAGTTATCAACGTTGTCTCTTGTTTCCTTAAAAAGATTTGTCTATCTCATTAGATATTATAAAGTTGGACAAAACAGTAGAGAACAAGACCAATAAAACTTAGACATTGTAAACATTACAGGACTTCCAAAGGAGACAATAGTCAAACCAGAATGGGCATCTTAGTGAATCTTACTGCCTTCAAAGTAGTTGCCTATACCCTCGGACCTGATACTATCCCACAGAATGGAACAGAGTCTAATCAGTCAAAACAAGATCGTGGGAGCATTACAGGACTTCAAAACAAGTTAATAGGAAATCGAAAAGAGTTACTATTATATATCCTAATTTTTTAAATTTTTCCCTTAATTAAAATAAACATAAGAAATAACTAAATAATTTTTTTAAAGAATAATAGTTACCATAGTGTCTGTCTTTTTCCTTGAGATATTTGGATAAAACTTCATATACTATAGCTTCAAATATTTCCATATCAAGAAGCCCGGAATAAAGCCTTTCTAATTAATAAGTGAAAATTTTATAAGGCTTCAAGGCCACATAATGGGGAATCATGATTGCCACATATTTTCATATATTTGAATCATTACTTACATTAGGGAAACCATTCGGTATTCATACATGCGAGATTGATTTATTTCACTTATGAGTATGGTCTCAAGCTGCGCCCATTTATTGATAAATATCTCAATGTGATCCTTCTTTATAGCTGAATAATATTCCATTGTATAGAAATACCACAACTTTTTTATCCATTCCTCAGTTGATGGACACTTGGGTTGTTTCCAAGATCTGGCGATTACAAATTGTGCTGCTATAAACATAGGTGCACATAAATCACTGTGGTATGATGCTTTCAGTTCTTCTGGGAATATGCCTAGAAGTGGAATAGCTGGAATAAATGGGATTTCCAATCCCAACTTTTTGAGAAATCTCCAGACAGACCTCCACAAAGGCTGTACCAGTCTACACTCCCACCAACAGTGCAGGAGAGTTCCTTTTTCCCCACATCCTCTCCAGCATTTGTTGTTGTTGGTTTTCTTGATCCTGGCCATTCTTTCAGGAGTGAGATGGAATCTCAGTGTGGTTTTAATTTGCATTTCTCTGATGACCAATGATGATGAGCATGTTTTCATATATTTATTTGCCATTTGCATTTCTTCATCTGAGAATTGCGTATTCATCTCAGATGCCCATTTTTGGATTGGATCTTTGAATTTTGGAGGTCTGAGTTTTTTTAATTCTTTATATGTTTTAGACAAGAGTCCCTTGTCTGAGAGAGAGTTCACTAAAATCTTTTCCCAGTTTGTGGGTTTTCTTTTCACTATGCTGGAGATTTCTTTTGACATGCAGAAACTTTTTAATAAGATGTGGTCCCAGTTATTGATTCTGGGAAGTGTTTCCCGTGCGGTTTGAGTCCTGTTCATGAATTCTCTACCTACTCCTATGTCTCCAAGGTTTCTACCCACTTTGTCTTCCAATAGATTTAGTGTTTCTGTTTTAATATTCAGATCTTTGACCCATTTAGATTTTAATTTAGTACATGGTGATAGACATGGGTCTAGCTTTAGTTTTCGGCAAATGGAGAGCCAGTTTTTCCAGCACCATTTATTAAAGAGACTATCGTTCTTCCAGTGAACCTGCTTGGCTCCTTTATCAAAGATAAGGTGGTTGAGTGTGTTTGTAGTTGTGGTTGTATCTTCTAATCTATTCCATTGATCTTCGCCTCTATTTTGATTCCAATACCATGTTGATTTTACTACTGTTGCTTTGTAGTATAATTTCAAGTCAGGGATTGTGATGCCTCCTGCTTTGCCTTTGCTGCTTAGAATTGCCTTTGCGATTCTAGGTCTCTTCTGGTTCCAGATGAAATTTAGGAGTGATTTCTCTAGATCTATAAGGTATGTTGATGGTATTTCTATTGGGATTGCATTGAATCTGTATAAGAGTTTTGGGAGAATGGCCATCTTCACAATGTTTGTTCTTCCTATCCATGAGCAAGGGATGTCTTTCCATTTTCTGAGATCATCTTCAATTTCCTTTTTCAGTGTATTATAGTTTTCACTGTATAAGTCTTTCACTTCTTTCGTAAGAGTAATTCCTAAATATTTCATTTTTTTGCTTGCTAATGTGAATAGTCCAGTTTCTCTTATTTCCCTCTCTGTAATTTTGTTGTTCGTGTATAGGAATGCTATTGATTTCTGAGTATTGATTTTGTATCCAGCCACATTACTGAATTTATTTATTGTATCTAAGAGTATTTCAATGGAGTTTAGGGGGTCTTCTATGTAGAGTATCATGTCATCTGCAAACAATGATAACTTAACTTCTTCTTTTCCTATCTTTACCCCTTTTATTTCTCTTTCTTGCCTAATTGCTCTGGCTAGTACTTCCAGTACTATATTAAATAGGAGTGGTGATAAAGGACATCCTTGTCTTGTGCCTGATTTTAAAGTAAAGGCTTTCAATTTTTGGCCATTTAGAATGATGCTGGCTGTTGGTTTGTCATAAATGGCCTTTATTATATTGAGGTAAAGACCATCTATTCCAATTTTCTGTAGAGTTTTTATCATGAATAAATGTTGGACCTTATCGAAGGCTTTTTCTGCATCTATAGAAATGATCATGTGATTCTTATTTTTGGCTTTATTGATATGGTGGATTACATTTATTGATTTGCGTATGTTGAACCATCCTTGCATTCCTGGGATGAATCCCACTTGGTCATGGTGTATAATCTTCTTGATGATTTGCTGCATCCTATTTGCCAATATTTTATTGAGGATTTTTGCATCTGTGTTCATTAGGGAGATCGGTCTATAGTTCTCTTTTTTAGTTGGGTCTTTCTCAGGTTTTGGTACTAGAGTAATATTTGCTTCCAGGAACGACTTAGGAAGGATTGCTTCCCTTTCAATTTCATTGAACAGTTTGAAGAGTGTCGGCATTAGGTCTTCTTTGTATTTCTTGTAGAATTCTGCAGTGAATCCATCTGGGCCTGGGCTCTTCTTGGTGGGTAAGGACTTAATTACATTTTCAATTTCAGTAACAGAGATTGGGTTATTCAACAGTTTTACATCCTCTTGATCTAGCTTTGGCACTTCATATGCTTCTAAGAATCTGTCTATTTCTTCTGTGTTATCAAACTTTTGAGAGTAGAGGTTTTCGAAGTAGGTGTTGATGATCTTCTGTATTTCTATTGGGTCTGTAGTGATTTCTCCTTTTTCATTTCTTATTGCATGAATTTGAGCTTTTTCTTCCCTTTTTTTAATAAGGTTGGCTAGGGGCTTATCGATTTTATTTATTCTTTCAAAGAACCAACTCTTTGATTTGTTGATTCTTTGGATTGTTTTCTTAGTCTCTATTGCATTGATTTCTGCTCTGATTTTTATAATTTCCTCTCTTCTTTTGGCTTTGGGCTTGACTTGCTCTTCTTTTTCTAGCTGTTTGAGGTGTAGCATCAAGTTATTTATTTGTATTCGTTCTGTTTTCCTGATGTGGGAACTCAGTGCAATAAATTTTCCTCTCAGGACGGCTTTCATTGCATCCCACAGGTTCCGGTAAGTTGTATCTGTATTTTCATTTTCTTTTAGGTATTGTTTGATTTCTTCTTTAATTTCCTC